CTAAAATCGATAAGAGTAGGCTTCGGCCGCCACCCGGGCAAAATTCAAAATTTCCTACCAACTGAAAATATTAGGTGTGTCCCGCGCGCTCATATGACCTATGCAGTTGCGAGCGCCGTAAAACACTTTACAAAATCAAAACAAAAAAACCAAAGAGAGAGAGAGATAGAGTCTTAAGATGTCACAGTAGGGTGCACTGGCTGTATCACGGAAGATTCACTCGCGGGACAGAAAACTCCAGATCTCATTGAAACCTGGATGTTAATAAACCTCACCGTTTTGTTGATGTTGTAGGGTTTGTTTGTTTTGTTTGTTTTGTTTGTCTGTTTTGTTTGGGGGGTTTTGGTGTTGTTTTTTTGTTTGGTTTGTTTTTGGTTTGTTTGTTTGTTTGTTTGGTTGGTTGGTTGGTTGTTGTTGTTTTTTTTTGCTTTTTGGGAGGGGGGAGGGGGTTGCCTCTGAAGCTTTCGCAGCCCATGTACGTTGTCTGTACTCTCCTCAACCTGGCTGTGAGGACTCGGCGCGCTCACTTGACACGGGAGAGATAAACGTAGAGAATCTAATCACACGCTGCTCTTTCACAGACACAACAAGCACAGAGAACAAACAAAAAACCCATCTAGATCTACACTCCTCTAAACTCACTTCAAAGACAGAACTTCATAAACGTGTATCGGAACTTGCGCTGTTGAAGAAGAGGAGGGTCAATTTACTCCCTTAGCTTAAGTTTTAAAAAAGGCTTTTTGTAAAAGATCGGATCAAAAGAAGCCGGTATGGAAAAGGGGGGAGGGGTAGGAGGACATGAGAAAAAAGGGGATGGGGTGAGGGTGGATGGGAAACGGAAATGCCAAATGAAGGTTGGGAAAATAGCCATCTCAGCAATAATATCGTTCACTAACATCCTCCATAGAAAGGCTATAAACTGAACTAAACTATCAAAATGAACAGTTTAATTTATTATCCTTACTTCCATGACCGTTAGTGTCTGTTTAATTTGTAATGGGGAGGCTCTTGTCCTTACGTGTAAAAGACAGGATCCAGCTCTTAAAGATTATTTTGAATAAAAGTATCCCCGTAAGTCTTTTTTTTTGGGTAATTTTTTTACGGTGCTCGCAACTGCAGAAGGTCATATGAGCGCGCGGGACACATTAAACATTTTCATTCGGTAGGAAATTTTGAGTTTTGCCCTGGTGGCGGCCGAAGCCTACTCTTATCGATTTTAGACCACCAAGGGATCTTTAACGTGAGCAGCTTGCACACAGGAGATTTTTTGCGGTTGTCCGAGAAGGCTAGGTGTAGATCTTGCCTATCAGAAGATCAGTGGTGTGGCTAAAAGACAGCAGTAAGGAGGAGCCAAGGAGTAGCAGTATCTCCGTATGTCTGCTGGGATGTTGTATCCTGCTTCCATCTGGTCTGTCAAGACACTCAGGATCGAAGCAGCCCGCCTTCTAAACAGTGTTCTTTATGTCGCAGAAGGTGTACAACTTTTCCATCCTCTCTCTTCCAAAAACCCTTTCTGCGATCCCTAAAATATGTTTTGTGATCTATCTTCCTCGCAAACTGTCTTTCACTTTCTGACTTAATGTAAAATATTCTTTGCCGTTTGTCTTCTTCTAAAGTACTCTGTCCCCTGTCTTCATTTTAAACATAGTAACTGTGCAATTTGTGTAAATTGTCCCATAAATTATACTGCATACTCTATGTCCTCTGTTCTCTATCTTTCCTAAAACATACTGTGCATTTTTTTAGTAGATTGTCCCATAAACTATACAATGTACTCTATGTCCTTTATTCTCCTAAAATATACTGTGCTCAATGTCTTCCCCTAAAATGATTATAATCCCATACTCTGTCTTCCTAAAAAAAATACCCTGTTCTCTGTCTCCCTCTAAGACATACTATGATCTCTGTCTCTCACCCTACTGTGTAGTTTGTCTTTCTTTTGAAAACACACCGGGTACTGTCTTTCTGATATACAGTATATCACGGATAAGTCGAACACAGAAGACTCGGAATCACGCATCCGTCGAACTGTGCCTGCGGTCCCGGTTTTTTTCTTCTTTATCTTTGTAAAGATATCCCTCGAACTACCGAGGCCGGTCCCGACGAATTTTAGCTGTCCGTGTTATACTGTATACCGTTTACTTAGGCTTTATCTAACGCGTATGACGCCATTCTCTGTCTCCCTCAGCTCGTACGTGAAGGTCATCAGTTGTCTCCAAACAATATTGACCTACCTCATGCTCTCTCTCTCTCTCTCTCTCTCTCTCTCTCTC